ATATAGTCTATCCTGCGAGTATGCCCCAGCATAAGCGTGGGCACTTGTAGATTGGGTGTTTTTAGGAGGAAGCAAAAATAATAGTATAGATGTGAAGGCGTTGGCTTCAAAGATGGATGATAATGATTTAGAGACTGTTGAACATGGATGAAGATATTTTGTTGTTGCAGAGGAACAACCTTTTGGTTCTATTCATCTCAAGACACAAAAAATTGGTTCCGTTCTCTCTCTCTCTCTCTCTCTCTCACACACACACACACGCACGCACCAAGAATCTGTGACAACTGATCTGCCCATGGAAGCTGTGACTCTCTCTCTCTCTCTCTCTCTCACACACACACACACATGCGCACGCGCACACACCAAGAATCTGAATAATAACAGATTTGCCCATGGCAGCTTGTGAGGATAAAGCCTTGAAGGTGTTTATAGCCGAGAGATATAAGCTAGTTCGACTTTTTGTCAAGGATGAAGAATGAATAGGGCTGCGCTATGTGTTTGACTACAGTGGCAAGGGTTGGTGTTGGAGATAGGTTGTGTTTGAGGATTAATGCAACTTGAATGTTTGTTGATGAGTTATTGTGATGAGATTAGATAATTTTAGGTTGGATGGCATAAAAGATTGGGTTGGGTTTATCGGTTAAGGGTTAGCTTGAATGTAGGAATATTTTGGTGGGGTTATGGGGTGTTATAGACTTAGTGATTGTAGAGGATGTGTGTGTGTTTTGGCATCGCTATATGATCGAAGTTTAGAAAAATGATAATAAAACCTGTCAAAACGATTAGGAAATTTCAACAAAGCTAAATATGTAAGGAGTGATTTCAATTTGCAATCAATCTCCAATCTCCAATCCATCTTTTTCTTTAATATTGACAAGCTAACTAAGCTTCTTGAAGTGAATCTGGAGCTCTTTTTCATCACATGATTATTATTTTGTCGCGAGGGGAGGATCGGGCATGCATATGTGAAAGGTAGAGTTGTGTTTGGATTTAAATATGTGTTGATTTCTAAGGAGAATAGGTCGACGAAGTTTTGTTCTCAGTTGTCCGTGTGATTTGATTGCAAGTTGATAGGTATGTGTTGCCTCCATAAAGATGTCTATAAATGCTCTATTCATATGTTTTTAGCAGGTTTCGTGTCTATATTTGTAGGAGCATCATCTATTGACAAGTATGCAATTTTGAAAATACGTAAAGGAACTTTCAAAAGATGGGTATTTATCTCATACGAGTTAGTCTGTACTTCTTAACGTTTATATGCAAAAATTTGAAGAGCAGAGAACATGCTGATAAAAACTCATAAGCAATTATTTAAAATTCATGTCATTAGTATGTGATGGTTGTAGAGCTGGGAAATGGAGTGTCAGGTAAAATATAATAGGTATTTTACACATGTATTGCACACTCTTTATGTATTTACATAATCTAATACTTAAATTTTCATATATTTACATATTTTGGTGTTTTGAATCTATGCAAGAGAAGGTATATTGAACTTTTAAAATTTATAATAATGTTACTGTTTATATGATTTTAAAGAATTGAGTGCTATGCAAATACATAAGATTGTGTGCTATGAATGTAACTGTCCCAATATAGTAGTATAATTATATTTTATGCTGAAAACAATCAAGAAATAATTTCAATAATCCTATCAATATTTATTTCAACTTAATAACTTGTGAATGAAGATTGTGTGCTTAAAGATTAATAAAAATGCATTGGCATACAAAGAATGATCTTACTAATGGATGTCAAGGCAAATTAAGGATTTGTGATTATATCAAATATTTGTATTTGTAGGGGTAATGATGCAAAATCTTTCCAGGAACTCTTACCTAGCAGAATACTATGAGATGGATCATAAAGATTTGTGATCTTATTAGGCATATGGGTCTATATAGGTAAAGTTTCATAGAGGATTCATTAATGAGTTTCACTAGGTAATGTATCAATAGACTAAGTTTAACAAGTATGTGTATCATTAAATAAACGGGCGATGGATGGAGTTGTGCTTTAAGTGAAAGGGGATCAAAATCATAATGAATGTTCTAAGGCAAAGGGATCAATAGATTAGTCAGGGGCTAATATTATTTTAGGACTAGGTTGGGGTTCCTTGCCTAATTGTTTTTGTGAAGGTATGATTTGATGGTGCTGGTTTTGTCCCTAGTGCTATATTTTAATGGAAAATTTACATACATACCCACACAATTGTTATGTTTACATATCTAATATTTGATATATACATATAATATTTAAATTTCAATTTTTACATACACATCATCTTAACTTTGAAAAAAATGTATTTTGGTGGTAAAAATGTACAATAAAATTTAGGTCTTATATATATATATATATATATATAGGTAAAGATTAAGTGGTATGTATGTTAATGACCCTTTAATGATTTAGTTAGTACTCACTAGATCGCGAATCCTTGACCGAAGACCAAGATGGAAGATCCGAGCATTAATTGAAGTAAATGAGGGGGCCTGCGACACGGTCTGATGAGATACGCTCACATTATATTTTGGGGATTATAGTTGAGAAGATCTATATTTTGGGGATTATAAATAAATAAAAAAAGGTTTTTACATGAATACCGCATAACTTTTTATGTATTAGCATATCAGCCACCTAAATTTCTGTGTTTTCAACCTAAGGTTATGTGATCTATAGGTGTGGTTAATATGCTAGTATTTCAATCTTATATTTTAATTCTATGATGAATTTATTATGAAAAAAGTAATTATTTAATAATAATTATTATTATAAAAAGATGCAAAGAAAATCAAGAGAATTATAGATAACATAAAAAATTTCTCACCGACCAAAAAAAAAAAAAAAAAAAAAAAAAAAAAAGGGTACTGCGACAGCCGGCCAGCATGTGCTTAGCAACACCGGCCTAAATATGCCTCACCTAAACATTGATTTTTATATTCAGCACTTTATCTATATTAAAAAAAGGTGTATTTTAAATGTTTAGAAGTTAATGCTAATGAGATTTCAATGTGATAGAAAAATGTTTGAATGTTATAAATGTAAAAATTAAAATATAAATTATATATATGTAAATACATAAAAACTATGTTGAATGTATATAAACGGCTCATTCACTATGATATTTAACATATAACAAATTATTTTGATTTCTAAAATAAATTAGTTTATTCTAAATAACCTAAACTAGTCATTAATTTTTAGAAGATTCGTGGCGGTAAAATAATGGTTATTTATCTTCTTAGCATTGCATGAAAAACCAACACACACTCACATAATTAAAGAGAAGTAAACATGATGAGACAACTTAATTTTTTTTACATGGAAAACTTTTAAAAGGGGAAAAATCACAGTGCATGACCTAGTTGAAATAATCCACTATAAATTGTGAGTACACAAATTCATTTTTCTCTTAAATTAAGGATGATGGAATTACAAAGTTGTATATCTATAATTTGGTTATAGTTCTTGGCAATAGCAGGTTACAAGGGTCATAATTGATAATTACGGAGGTAGTAGTCCGTCGTGAGTGTTGTCGACGTTGGCTATAATATCAGCTTGTCATAGAAACAGTAGTTGATAACCATGGCAGTAATTGGTCAGGTGGGTCATAGATAGTTGTTTTAGGAGCTTCGGTTGGTCATAGAGGTCGCAGTAGAGAGTTGTAGGAATTGTGGTTCATGTAGGCCTTATAGGCCATTGTAGTGAGCCGCGATGACATTCGTGAGCTGCAGGGGTCGGAGTCAGAAGCTGCACGAGTTGTTAACTATGTAAGTCGTAATAGTGAGTGATAATGACATCTGTAGGCCGTGAGGACCAAAGTCGGAAGCTACGGGAGTGTATGTGAGGCATATCATTACCCCACTTTCGAGATGCACAGTTGCACATTCTTTGGGCTGTGTTGCACCATCTTTGGGGTCAAGTTGATGTTCAAGATGATAATCTGCATCAAAGGTTGCTTCGTGACTTCGGGTTGTTAATTGTTTCTTCGCAAGATGTTTCATCGCAAGGAGCAGGCTACGACCGATGGTGATCAGTGGCGGCTGATGAGCGGTGGTCGACGGTGAACTTCAATTCCTTCTCCAAGTTGTGGTCTTCTTCAGGCTTCAAGTTATCTCCCCCTTTTTAAAGAAAGAGGGAAAACTCTATTTGAATCATGATTGCAATTAATGAAGGAATATGAATCACTCTGATCATACTACTCAAAGAAATTTCCCCGATTAAAAGGTATTCGATGGACATTTGAGTACCATAAAGATGTCGGAATTGAGTGATCTTAGGGTCATTAGATTCGCCTTATCAAGACGCTCAATTTGCTTATAAACTCATCATATTTGAAACCCATTTGACCTTCTAAATATACCTAGATAAGAGTTTGATTTGGTTTAGATTGGACCAATTGTGGTACCATTAGGTCCATCTTGTCGAGCTGATCAGTTTGACTATATATTCGTTGAAAACGGAGCTATTAATGATTTTTAATTGAAGTTTGAATATTTATTGCTCAAAAGATCATTTTGAGAGTCATGTTATGCCTCTAAATTTATGTCGGATGATGAAAATTTATTGATGATGTATCTGTTGTCCCAATATATATATAGATTGTGGTTTGTCACATAAGCTATAATTATGAGTTGTAATAGAATTCATAGGCCGTGTGGGATGGATTCGAGGGTTGGACATATACCCAAGCTGTGTCGTTACTTCATCTTCGAGAGGTATTGTTGTTCCATCATCTTTGGGGTGTTGCGTTCTTGCACCATCATTTGAGTCAACCTGGGTTTAAGATAATGCACCGCTTCGCAGATTGCTTCATGATCATTATTTCACATGGACATTGGCCCATCAAAAAAAAAAAAAAAAAAAAAAAAGAGCATGTGTACTTACATATCTTACACCCAAACAACAATTTTTACATGCATACCACCTTATCTATACATAAAAATGTTTCATTTTCCAAATGTTAAAATAATGATATTTATAATGAGACGTGAAAGATTTGGGTGGTATAAACATAAAAAAACTAAAGTAATAAATATGTACATTTATAAGAACTGGGTGATAATAATGGCATGTAAATGCCCTAACATTACCACCCCTAATGCTAAGTAGGTCAATATGTCCACAAGTTTCAGTGCATTCATAGCTTGCAAAATCTACTACATGTAAGGCTTTCAAGACTAAACCTGCAACAAACAACAGCATCTAGTACAACATTTCATCTTCTTATCCACTTAAGCTGCCCAAACCTACTACAAGAACCTCGCAAGATTCATATAGCTATCAATTAACTTTGCAACTATATCTACCTAAAAAAAAAAAAAATACTACACTGATTTTGGGCCTGTGTTCAGTGGAATTGAAGATTTTGTTTGAAGTTCGACCAGATGATCATCAAGAAGTAAATCATCATGATCAAGTTTTCGCAAATGATCACCTCTTGAAGATTGATCTTTCGATCCTAAACTGCCGGATCGGGTTGACGTCGAGGCTTCACTGACTCGATGGGCATTGCGCTTCTTGACCTTGTGAGCCCAACCAATCAAACTTTGCTGCACATGCTCCTCAAATATAGCCTTCCTGAATGAGCTCCCCATCTTTTAAACCATTAGCAGTAAGTATCAAGATTAGCAGCAGTTTTACATTACTCAATTTCATGAATACATACATATACATACATTATATATATATAAAGAGAGGGAGAGAGGATTTACGTATATACCCACTTAATTCCAATGTATTTACATATCTAAAACGTAAACTTCAATTTCTACATATTGGCCACAATGCCTATGCATGAAAATGTGTGTTTTATTTTTGAAAAGTTAAAATAGTGGTATTTTTATGTGTTATAATTTTTTTGGGGTATAAATGTAAAAAATGAAGTTTAGGTTTTAGAAATGTAAATACTTGGGAATTGGGCGGTAATTGTATGTATGTAAATGCCATATATATAGTAAGGAAAAAGAGGACTGCAGGTCACCTGGGTGACAATAGCATAAAGTGGTAGGGTACTATAGCTGCATAGAATTTGAATCATCAACCTGCAAAATAACCATGTAGAAACAATTACATTTTCAGAATAAATATTTAGATAAAAGGCGAAACCTAACGCAAATTCAAGTTACGACCATTGCAAATTTCACTACCATTTGGTCGTGACTAATTACAGTGTTAGGCTCTGTTTGGGCGAAAAATTACGGTGTCCGATCTCCACCGTTGATCGAAAATAAAAATAAAAAAAAAAATGAGGCCCACCTAAATACATATTTACTTTTTGCATACGGTGTCCATATGGAATAATTTTTCTCGTTTGGGGCAGCTTATTCGTTGCGGCGGCATTTTTTGAAAACACCGTCTCACCATTTAGAAATTGGGTTTGAGCAGTTTATCCAAAAACACATATGGTTTTTTACACTAAACACGGGTCGCACCCCACAATCCGTGTTTCCAGATAAGCGATAAGCACAAGCTACCCCAAACGCACCCTTAATTCAACTCCCTCTTTTTAAGAAAAAAAAAAGGGCAATCTAACATATAATGAAATTCTCAAAATATCCATAATAAAATAATCAGCAAAGATCATATTTTCTTCATAGAGCAAAAATTAGGCTCCACAAGCTAATATAGAAGCATGGGATAAATGCGAATGTTTAATAAGCATCTTACCCTATCACGAGTCGTGGGACTATAAACCGTATTTTTCCCATGATGCAAGAATCGAAACCGTATGTCGTCTACGAGATGAAAAAAAAAAACAAGAGAATAAATACCTCATCCCTGCACAATTTTGAATGTAAGCAAAGATGATGTTTCGTACCAAAATCCAGAAGAAAAATGAGATCTCAAAAGCGTTCTGAAATAGTATAAAATGAATCAAGTAGAGAACAATCTTAGGACGGCGGAACCAAAAGTGGTCATCTGAAGGCTTCACTACTAAATCTCCCTCAATAGCCGAGTGTTTTTCAGCCACTTCGTGAGCTAGTTGGCTTATTACATGCTCCAGTTTTGTTCCCACCGCAAGGAGCAGCTGTGAAATGCATAAGATACAGTAAAATTTTTCATAAGTTTTTATGCTTCAGTTTAGTTGTAAAATAAAAAAATGAAGCATTTACATACATGTCACCAAATTCTTATGTATTTACATGTATAACACCTAAATTTGATTTTTTACAATTATAACACCCGAATCTTTCATATATATCACCATTTTAACTTTTAAAAGGTAAAGTACACATTTTCATGCACAGGGAAGATGGTATGCATATAAAAATTGAAGTTTAGGTGTTAGATATGTAAATACAAAGTAACTGAAAGGTATGCATGTTATTCTTTCAAAATTAAACTGAGGCATTTACACATACACACCACCCAAATCCAATGTATCTACATAATTAACAACTACATTTGACTTCCCTTTATAACACCCAAATCTTTCATATCACATCAAAAATACCACAATTTTAAATTTTAAAAAGTGAAATACACCATTTCATACATATGTAAGATGGCATCTATGTAAAAATTGAAATTTAGGTGTTAAATATGTAAATACATAGGAATTGAGTGGTATGTGTGTAAATCTTCAAATAAAAATTCATTGCAATCACCAATGAGAGCGCTAGAAAATAAATTATTAAATATTGTTATCTTATAAGCCTCGGTCACATAATGCCGGAGAATTCAATAGAAGTTGGCTTCTTTTCCTGCTCTAATGCTCAAATTAAAAGTTTTTCACATTTAGTTTATTTCATGTCACATACTTACAATTAAGGGAATGAATGCTATCCAAAAATAGGTATGCCAACCTGCAAGGAATAAATTTATACACAACATTTTGTTAGAGCACCACTTGAATCATAACAGTTCTTTCTATAACAAAAGCATTTAGGTCTGTCTGAGAAAATATTGGAAATAAAAGCAAAAGCTGCACTAAGAATTCCTATACACAATTTACTTTGCTTTATCCAATACACAATTTTCAGTTATAAATCATTAGCATATAATTCCTATCTAACACCTAAACTTTACTTTTTATACATTTATATCACCCAAAGCTTTAAAATCACATCTAGAAAACGACCATTTAACTCTTAAAAAGCAAAATACAACTTTTCATGCATAGGTAAGATGCCATGTATGTAAAAATTGGAGTTTAGTTGTTAGACATGTAAATGCATAATAATTGAGTGGTATGCATTTATATCTTCCATCCTTTTTCATGAAGAATCAAATTGGGTGTTCATCTTCATGCAGAGTTTTCTTTTTCTCTACTTTGATATCCAAAATTACCCAAATTTTACTCTTTGATCCTTACCGAGCTATAATTTTGTAAGTAGTTTAATATATTTCTATTAAAAAAATACTTCCAAATGTGGTATATATATATATATATAAAGAGAGAGAGAGAGAGAAGTTGATCTTACCACTAACATTCAGTAATAGGAAGACCACCACAAATATCCAAAGGTACCAACTGAAAGAAAGGAAAGAAACCAAGGTAGAAATGAGTCACACGATAAAAATATCTAACATGAAAATTTTAAAAATACATATTGAAAATTATAAACAGAATTTTTACAACACCTGCAATAGTAAAAATATAAAGAATTGCTAAAAGATATACATTAACAAGTATTGCTTAAAATGGCATACTAGTGGTTTAAGCGTTCACACCTTATACCAACAACTTTCTTGAAATCAGTTTCTAGAGCCCGAAACATATATTTGTGAAAATTGAATTTTGGATTGCTCGCACAGTGAGTCTGGACTTAGGAAGTTCGGATTAAAGAACAAAAAACATAATCAGCAACAAATTATGAAGAAAAAAATTACAGAAAAAATAATTATCATATAAATCAAGAAGGAAAACATCAACAGAAATTCATACCATGATAAAACCAAGCCTCATTGTAGTGTAGTCAGACTTTGTCACAGATCCATAAAATTGCTTGCCAAAAGAATGCTGAGAGTAACAGGCGCAATAAAAAGGAAGGTTAGAAGAAATTCTAATTTCCTTTTAAAATGTGATTATGAGAATAGCTCCACCAAGGGCTTGTTTGGGTTCAATTTTATTTTGGTTTTGTCTTTTATTTTTCCTTTGTTTTCAAAAACATATTCGTTTAATGTATTTTTAATATATATATATATATATATATTTTTTTCTCTAAATACAAATAAATATGTTTTTGAAAACACTCAAAACAATCATATTTTAATCAAACATATCAAACAAGTTTTGTTTCAAATCAAAACAAAAACAAAAAATTGAAAACAAAAACCAAAAACTGAAAACAAAAAGCAAAAGTGATCCCAAACAAATAAAGCATGGAATTTTTAAATGTAATTTTTAAACGCAACACACTGCCAAAAAACAATAGAGGAAACAAGTAAAACATGCACAAATCATGAGTGGCCATTATTTTGAAAATTATGCAAAACACAAGCATAGAGATACATCATACTTTGGCCTAATTAAGCACCAGGAAAACAATGTAAAGAATCTCATTTACCAGCCAGCCCAAAATCTCAGAATCCTTGCCAATACCCATAAAATGATCCCTGATAAATTCAAACTGATGCACAAGAGCATATCCTCCTGGAACTGCACAAATTAGAGCACTCAAGTTAGGATCAAATTTTGCCATAACAAACATTACAAACTAATCTGAGAGCAAGAAGTTTATTCCTCTTACCACTTCCTGAATTGTTCTTGTCAATTGAATCCTCCCAATGCTTCCATTCACGAATCTAAATTATGATGAGGGGAAAAAATAAGGTGCCGCTAAATAAAAAATGCACCTTCGAAGGCTGTCAATAATAAACTTAAAAGAGAAATTTACATATGTACCACACACAATTCTTACGTATTTACATATCTCACACTTGAAGTTTCATATTTACATACATAGAACTTTGGCGCTTTAAACATATGCATCAAAATGTGGATTTCACTTCTAAAAAGTGGTAGGAGTGCTATTTTTGATGAGATATTAAACATTTAAGTGCAATGTGTGTAAATATCAAAGTTTTTGGTGTGAGATATGTAAATACATAAGAATTGTGTGCTATGTATGCAAATGCTCATAAATTTAAAAGACAGATGGCTCGAAAGTTTACCTTAAGTCCAGCTAAGACCATAGTAAGGACAGAAAAAACCACATGTGTGACTGCCAGAACAAAAATGAAGATATGCAGTTGGTGCAATGCCTCAACAGATAGCAGTGGAACTTCATGCTGAAAAATTAATAACGGAAATAAGAAGCATTTCACAGCAATGTTAAATTTTATGTTCTTTTTGTGTGGTTGAAAAACAGAATAAATCATAAAATAACTGAAGATAAGCAAAGCACTGCTTGTAGAACAGTTGAAATCTAGTAAAAAGGAGTGATTCCTCAATTAATTTGAACATTTCACCCGCAAAAAAATCGTATAAGCTGAAGAAATAAAGAATAAAAAATAAATAAGGTTCCCAAATGCCAGATGGGAACAGAATCCAAAGTGCTAAAATGAAAAAAGAATATTATTAAAAGGAGAAAAATTAGGTCACGGCATCCTAAGTTGATCATGGCGGACTTCACGGTCATCAAATTACCATTTAGAAGTGTACTATATAGTTTATCAATCAAATTTAAAAAGAAACGACTATGAAGTCCATTCGGAGTAAATTTAGGTCAGGATTTCTCAACCAATTTATTTTTAGTATTAAAAAGATTCATATTTTCTCCATCAAAGTCAAACTTGGAAAAATTTTAGCTCGGCAGATCCTTGTTTAAATTTAGTTGAAACCACCTTGAGATCAGTGCAACGCAATTCTTAACTGATTAATCATACAATGCACTGATCTCAAAATAAATCTAACGATTATAAAGCTCATCTGGTCAAATATGGGTAAAGATATCCTAACCCAAATTTTCACAAGAACTCGGCGAGTTCAAAGAAGGGGAACGATGATGATGATTTTTCAAATGAACTTTGCATAGTAAGCCTTCAAGCCTCCTCAACCAAAAGTTGCATTCATTCCCAGTCAACCGAGCATATATAAAGGCACAGCAAATCACCCGAGGAAAAAAACGCCGGACAATAGAACAGAGGGCTTGGAAAGAAAATAATAAGAGGGAAAATTAGCAAACATGGTTAGGAAGAACAATGGGACCTCGACGTTGCAGTGAGACTCTTGGGAAGAGAGGAGACGACGCTTCCCAGCAGTAGAAGCTTCTTCACAGGGAAGCAAGTATTCCGTCCACTTCTTGGAGATGCAGATCCTCACAATCGTACCCTGGAAAACCGTCAATAGCAGCGATATGAAGCCCATTAGCATCAGCTCTGCACACAAATCAAACTCACGGATCATTCCCCATCAACCGCCAAAAATCCATCAAAACAAGTTCCTTGTTATCTTCTTTGATGAAAGGACCAGCAAAACAAACCTTCTTTCACTTTCTGAAGCGCCTCGAACAGTGATTTCTGGTTCTTCCTCTTCAGAAACTGCAACGTGTGGAGAGAATGTGAGGTAAAAAAAACAGAACCCTAATAAAGAAAGAGAGAAAATAGAGAGAAAACCTTGCCGAGATAATGGAGAAGGCGCTCGACAACGAGGGAGATGGAGACGATGATGGAGCAAACCACAGCGACGATCCATGTCGGAGTGAACTCCAGCTTTAGTGCGCCTTCAGCTTCTCCCTCCTCCATTCGCCGCCACCCGCCGCTCAGTCTCTCTCTGTCTCTCTATCCAAAGTGATGCTGTTCCGAAGAATAAATAAGCTGGCAGTGTGGACTCAGAGATCATAAACAAAAGAGGAAGGAGGGGAGAAGACACGCCCGGTGAGAAAGCATACCGTTGAAGCAGAAAAAAATAAATGTATTATTTACTTGGAACAAAAATTGCATGCAATATTATCAATATTATATATAATGTTAAAAAAGAATAAAAATATTATGATTAATGATGAGTTTTTAAATTTATAGATTTACCCAACTCAAAATAAATTAATAAAATTCAAACTTGCCGCTCATCAGAATGAATTTTTGATTCTCTCCAATGATCAAAGAACCCATTCCGGACGACCAATTCATTTTAAATAATTGCATTTTTGAAACGGTCATATTATTTGAAAATCGAAGTAAATCAAAGTGCGTGCACTTATCTCAGCACTAAATATCTTATAGGCGCTAACAAAGAGCTTTATGCTGACTATAAATATTACAGCTTTATATTTTTACGAAGAATTATATACAGACCACTCTATTCTTATGTATTTAGATATCTAACATAAAATTTAATTTTTATATATATTACATTTTATCTATGCATTAAAATATATATTTTATTTTTTAAAGTTTAAATAATTATGTTTTTGATGTGATATTAAAAATTTGGGTGGTATAAATGTAAAAAATCAATGTTCATGTGTTGCATATGTAAATACATAACTGTGTGGTATATATGTAAATCCCCCTTTTTTTAAATAAAGTTAGCACAAAAAAAAAATAACATTAGATAAAAGTAAATTGCAATTTTTAACAATAACAATCAAAATTTTACCATAAAAATTGGCACTCATCTATACATAAATTTTAATATCATTAATTAATAATAGTTTAAGATGGATAATATTCATGATATGCATCGACAATTTTCAATCATTTGGCATGAACCTCAAAATATGACATCAATGTTAATATAATTTTTTGAGTAAGGGAATATTCACTTTGATAAAGAGTTATCCAAAAGTCCATTTTATGCTTAGTTTAGTCAAACTGAACGGCACGACAAGACATACCAAATGTTACTAAATTTGGTCCAATCTGAGTTAAATTAGACTTAGATCAACTCATTAAGCCAATTTTGATAGCTTATTATGCATATTTGTGATGTCCTGTTGAATCTGTCGAGCTTATAGTTGAATCGAGTGTCTCGATGAGACAAATCTCGCGAGCCTGAGATCACTCAATTCCGACATCGTTAAGACACTCTAATATCCATCAAACAACGTCTAATCGAAGGAAGCTTTATGGATCATTCGATCAAAGTTGTTCATATTCTTATATTAATTAACTGGGAACTCAATAAATAGAATCACACTTCTCTCATGAGGGGGAATGGAGATTGAAGCTTTGAGAATGAGTTAAGGTCCAACGTCACTTCGTCGTCGACCACCAATTGCCGCCCATCACCGGCCACCACCAGCAGACATCATTGGTTGCCACCCACTCATTGCGACGCAGCATCGTGAGAAGCGATAACTGACATCGCAAAGTCATGAAGCAACATATAAAGTAGCTCATCATTTCAAACATCAGGATGCCACCCAAAAAATGCTGCAACAATGCATCTTGAATATGATGTCATGAGGCACCCCACATACACTCATGCAGCTCACTACCACGGCCCCTGAGGCCTACAGATGTCATCGTAGCTGACCGCTACAGTCCATGTGCCACTTATTTAGCCAGAAATATTTGGCTAACTTACAACCCAACTCCTCGAGAAAATATTCCGTATGAACACCGCACGACCGGGCGAGTCATCATATAGATTAGCGGCGGGCGACGTGACCGTTAGTAATTGGACTTTTGGACATGGGATGGAAAATACTCCCGGAGTTTTTTTTTTTTTTTTTTTTTGTTGTATTTTTAAAAATTTTTAACTATTTTATCAAAGAAGAAATATTCAATGACCATTTTATTTTATTTATTTAATTAACCGATGCGTGAGCATTAAGCTGTTTTGTACTTGCTTGATACGACAGCATTTGCTCTAATTTTTTTTTAGAATTAATTTTAAGTTCATTCAATTTTTATATTCAGTATTAATTGATGAAACGTACTAATAAGTCAATTAATATCTATATCCCGAATCAAGCACTTTTGAATAATTTAAATCCTCCGTTTTCTTGTCAAAATAAATATTTTAATAAGATGGGTTTAATATTATTAATTTTTAATTCACAGCGACATCTGATAAAATAATAAAAAAATATTTACATACATACTCCGCAATTCCTATGTATTAATTTTTATATTTATACCATTCAAATCTTTCATATCACATCAATATAATCATTTTAACTTGAAGTAAAATAAAATACACACTTGACATGTACGTAAAATTTGAAGTATAAGAAGTGTTACAAATATAAATACATAAGAATTGAGTGTTATGCATGTAAATCTTCCAAAATATTATGATAAATAAAAAATAGTATGTTTCAAGTTAGAATTATTAGAATGACCAAACCATAGCAAGACCGGCCAAACTAGCATAATTTAAATGGAAGATTTGCATGTATACACTCAATTTCTATGTAATTACGTATCCAACACCTATATTTTAATTTTTACATATATAGATTAAATTAAATATTAAAAGTAAAGTTTAGATATTAGATATCTAAGTACATAGGAATCGTATGGTATTTATGTAAATGCCTCAACTTAAATATAAAGAGAATGAAAATATAATAGGAAGACTTGGTATAAGGATTGTAGAATATGGCGTGGGCCTCATTAAAGTATGGGAGCTCCATGCAGATCCAGTGTTTCTTTGACTCCTGTCGGGTGGGTATAAATGACAGAACGAGCTCCTTATGATATATATATATATTTTTTTTAGAATTTATACATTTTCTTATGCTCGTAGGACATAATTGCAATTTAAAACTTTAAACTAATAAAATAGTTAAGCTTGTCCCCATTTGTGGAATCTATAGGCGCATATTTTTCTTTTATTTATGTAAAGGCCCCTGTTGTTAATAGAATATTACATGTTTTTCTATCCTTTTAAAGTTTTTTTCTGCCTGTATACGAATTAAAATAATATATATATATATATATATGATGGAATCAAATTTTTACCTTTTCGTGGGTTATTAGGGTTTGTTTTTTTGTTATTTTGCATGACCACCTCACATTTTATTATGCTTCCTGCTTTTCCTTTTCTTTTAGCTTTTGTCGCTTTTTGGGTGCTCCGAAGCCACTCAAAACTAACATTTTAATAAATGCTTCTCTCTCTAGACATAGGTTGTCGGTGTGGGTCCTCTGTTGCAGGTGCGACAATTACATATCTTCAAGATGGTCTGGATGGGCCGCCCTATGAGGGTAAAAATTATTGCATCATGACACCTTATATAAATTTGCATCAGATGTCCAATAATAGGGTGTCACATGACAACCCGGACTCGAATCGTGCATTTCACCGGGCTCAATTTGCCACGTGACCCCATGTTATCAGACACCTGATGCAAATCTATTATTGGACACCTGATTCAAATTTGCATCAGATGTCCTGTGAGAGACTTGACCACATTTGAAATGTTCTGACATGCAGACCGCCGCACACACAAGTAATATTCTCCTCTTATACACTCAAGAATTTTTCATATCACAAAAAAATATCAATGTTCTAATTAAAAAAAAATGAAATTCACTCTTTCTTTTCAGTATATTAAAATTAAAGTTTAGATGATATATATATGTAAATATATAAAAATTTAGTGGCATGCAAGAGAGGTGGTCAAAGAAAATAATAATATTATATTTAAAAATGGTCTGCATAATTTCCCATTTTCTATTATAAAGACTTACATACATACCGCTCTTTGTATTCCATATCCACCACCTGAATTTCAATTCTTACATTCATGTCAATTTACGTCTGTACCCCCACTGCACAATGTCGGGTTTTTTATGTGCAATTAACGATTTAAGTAGTATAAATGTAAAAATGTATGGTTTAGGTATCAGAAAAGTGAAGATATAGAAATTGGGTGTTATGCATGTAAATGCCCCTTCTATAAACAACTCAAAGTTTATTGTTGTTAATTGGCATAATTTTTTTGGTAAACAATATGTCTGGATTTCTTGCTAGAAACTAAAAGTGATTTAAAAGCTTGATTTGTGTTTCATTTGACTTGAATTAGACCAATTTTAGTATCATTGAGTCTATCTAGTCGAACCGATCAGGATGAATGTAAGTTTACTACAATCAGAATTCTAGATGACTTTTAATTGGAGTTTGAACTTTTCTTGCCCAAAAAATTACCCGAGACCTGTATTATGTCATGAGATTCATGTCTGATGATAAAAATTTATTGATGGCATGTCAAATTTAAAAATCATTCTTAAGATTTAATCCAAGCAAATTTATAATTAAATTAAATTAATGTAATTTGACAAATTAATGGACATGTAGGTAGAATTACACTTGGGTGAGTCTCATAAATAAATTGTAAATTTTGTTCAAGATTTCAACCCTATATAAAGGGGCAAATTGAGGTAGTCAACAATTCATAAAATCCTTGTTAAGGTGCTTGGCAAAAAGAAATCATTGAGAATTGATATTTACATTTAGCTACTTTTGAATTTGCTTATAATAATAATAATATTTCAAATGATAGAAACAGAATATTTCTTGACATAGTATATAGTTATAATCCCAATAGATCTTATAGCTAATGTTACTACATGCTTCATACCTGTTATGGTGCTATGTCCACCATCCTTGCATCAACGGCCAAGTAGAACAGGTGATAAAATCTCTCATCTTCCATCCAATGGCATCATATTCACTCATCTGTAAGATTTATCTCTGCACATGAATCATATTCTTACAAGTCTTTTCTTCCATGTTTGTTCTATGTGTTGTAAAATTAGTGTAATTTATAGCACATTGTAGTTTTCAGGTTTAATTTTCTAGCATCTATACTGCTTGGGGCTCTACCATGCAATCTATTTTAATTTCAACTGCAAAGCAGATTCTTGGCGAGAACAAAAAGAATGATTTACTTCTTAGCATCTATAGTGCCTGGGGCTCTCGCTTTTTTTTTTTCCAGGCAGATGAATGCTCGCATGTTATATATCCTTTTGTTTCTAACTAATATGCCATGCCCCGCATTTGAGCCCCGCGCCTTCTCTCAAATTTTACACAACCCTGATCGAACACGCAACACATTGGTTAAAAAATAATAATAATAATAATAATAAATAAATAAAAAATAAATCCAAAAAATCAGCTTCTAACGTTCACCCAGCTGAAAAAAAAAACTGCAATACATAATTAATCAATTGACTCGTTACAATCATCTAGAAGCAAATTTAGGATCCGTTTGGGGCAGTTGTAGCTTATTGACAATCTGCTGATAAGCAGCTGATCCAAAGAAGCTGCTCATCAGCAACAGATCCAAATAAATTAGTTGGTCGTTTGATTTGTGTTGTTGGAAAACAATTGATTTGCAACTGATTGTGAATAAAGACATTTGATACTTCAGAAGCAAAAAAACTACTTTATAACAGTAGAAAAATAAAACACACACCTCACATAACAATGAGTATCAAGTGTACACTAAAAAAAAACAAAAAGTTACATAAAAAATGATAATATTCATTTTAAAATCCAAACGATGTCTGTCACGCACTACGTCGTCCTCCAGGGATGTCATCGAACCCCGATCACTATCGGCAATGGAATTTTCCGGACTGTCTGTCCACCGGAAGAAAGCACATTGTTTTATTAGTGATATATGAAACACAACATTAATCTTCCATGCAGCCCAATGGCCCCTACAGGACCCCACATACATGAAATTTTCATTCCAACTGAGTAAAAATAGGACTTCAAAATCCAAACCAGCATTGAATTGAACCACACACACACCCAACCAGCACACACACCCAAGTCCAACCTCCAACACCCAAGGGCAACAGTTGACAGAGACACACACACTCAATTCCAACTACCAGCACACACACCCAAGGCCAACACCCAAATCCAACATCCAACACCCAACCAAAGGCAACAGTCGAAGAGAACACAAAAAAGGAGAAACCCTAGCCATTCCTTCGAATTTCAACACAAGAGCACTGCAAACTTCTCACACCAAAGAAGAAAGCCAAATAAACGCACAGAAAAGTCATTCCATCGAAAATCACCACAAAAAATGCAACGATAATACTTTCAGTGCACCACAACCACAAATCACAGAGAGGAAGAGGAGGAGAAAGGCAACAATCGAGAGAGCATGAGAGAGGCACGTGAGAGAGAGACAGGGGAGCGATCGAAATCCACGGGATGAGGGCAGAGAGGATCGAAGAGGCACCTAGGGCACAAGATGAGGGCAAGCGCGACAGGAGGGCAGAAAGGTAAGAAATTTCCTTCGAGAGCGCTAAACCCGCGGCCGGCGTTTCTTACAAAACAAAAACGGTGTATCGCAAAACGCACCGAAGGCGGGGAGAACAAACATCATTGCAGCATTTTGAAAACATAGACGCGGCGGATAAGCTACGCCAAACACAGCCTTAATCACTAAAAAATTAATCCTAAATAAATTTATTTCCTTAGATTACTTGTATGGCAATTAATTTGTAAGGTTTATTCAGCAAACATCTCAACAAAGGGTATTGGTAGATTATGCAAATAGTTTCCGACAGATAGTGCAAGTACAAATTGAAACCTTACAAATAAATTTAATCCCTTGGTAGATTTGCAAGTACACAAATTTTGCAGACAGGGAACACACTTTTTTCAAACTTAATGTTATAAAATAAAGCCAACAAATTGAAACCTTTTTTACAAGAGATATTTGCTTAAAGGTATATTTACATTCTAAAAAAATAAATAAATAGATGCGCATTTCATAAAAAATGAAATTAAATGCCAAATTCATGTGATTTTCATCAGTTAAACTCACCAGAGTTCAAAAACAAATGCCCAAGCATCCATGGTTAAAGAAAATCAAATTCTTCTTCTATTATCCATTCGTATTTTCTTTAAAGCTGGTGGGTTTGCTATATGCTCGCTGCTAGATTGTACCTACAATGCAGATAAATCTGATGTTTATACAGAAAAATCCAATGTAATTCGATTATCTTTAAGAGTCAGAATAATTTCTACTACCTTGTCAAGCTTGCTCCTAACCAATCTAACCGTTTCATTCATTGAAGCAGAGGGGAAATAGTCCTGAAATTTGAATATTTAAGATTCGATTATTAAAAAAATTAGCAAGCCGAGAGCCAATGATAAATAAAAGAATCGAAATGATTCCCCCACTATTTGCAGAGGTCCAAGAAAATTCTAGACGATGTAAAGGCTAATTAAGTCCCCAAACAATTTAATAGAGACTAAAATAATGACCCGACTTAAAATGATGGCTAAAATAATACTGTTGAGGGGTCATTTTGTTTCCTATTTAAATGGCATGGGACATTATTTGGTCTGTCACGTAGTCTTATGACCATTTTGTTCTGATAGACACAGCCATCAGTTATAACCTTACCTGGTTAGAGGACACCTGGTTAGGATGTTCTCGATAATGTTTTTCGTCCTCGCTGCCAAAATGAAATAGATATATAATTCAACAAATAAATGGCAAATAGTTCTTTTCTATGGAGTATGCATCGTTCTTTTTATTTATTTTCAAACAATTTGACCACAGACAATGACCATATTAATTTTAGGAAGCTGAGTACAGTCGGGGACATTTACCACCTTCTAGTTGTTATATGCGATTTTGATCCATCAGGTCTTGGAACTGCAATTAAGACATCATCCAGAGAGTAAAAAAACTAGGGGCATTTACAAATATACCATCCAATTCCTATGTATTTACATATATAACATTCAAACTTTTTACATTTATAACACTCAAATCTTTCATATCACAAAAAAATATCATTAGTTTAACTTTTAAAAGTCAAATACATCTTTTAATGCATATGTAAAAATTAAAGTTTTAGCTGTTAGATTGGTAAATACATAATAATCGAGTGGTACGTATTTAAAGCTTCTAAGAGACAAATGCTGATGATAATACAAATAGAACAGCTCACATTTTATCCGAGAAAGGACTTCTATTCTTCTTCTTTCTAATTTATCTCGAGTATCTGAAAGGCTCTCAAAATCTGGGGCATATGAAATCTGAAGTCGATTCCCAAGGAAAATTGACTCATCCAATTTTCTTTTTGCAAACCTTCAAAGAATGAGAGAGTTTGTAATGTGAGATGCTTGACCATGGTTGACCATGGTTTGATTTCAGATGGCCAACAGTAGAAAAAAAGGGGGACATTTACATAATGCCACACAGTTATTAAGTATTTCCGTATACCTAAGCCTTACTTTTTATATTTACATTTATACCACTCAAAATTTTCATATCAAAAATTTTCATATCATATTTCATATCATATCAAAAATACCACTATTTTAACTTCTAAAAAGTGAAATACACATTTTTCATGAATAGGTTAAGGTGTTAGCTATGTAAATAAATAAGAATTAAGTGGCATGTACGTAAATCTTCCAGAGAAAATAATGTAGGCTGCCTAGTGCTATTGAGGAAATAACGTAGAGGGGATCCTACATGATCCTTAAATATGAGATTAATTCTACCAACAAAACAAATATTTAGAATCTAAAAGCAAATTTTGTAACAGTAATAACAAATGGAAGCACACAAAATATAGAATTCGAGGAAGTATGAGCTCCACAGAGATACTGCGTGTTGGTGCAAAAGGCTGAAGCTTACTCGGTAAGATATTAGATCTAAAATGTTAATCGGTAAGATATTAGATCTACAATGTTAAACACAAGACTAAAATTAAATTGTTAAGAAAAACCAATCAAAAAAGTTGCTAAATTGAATTTCATAAGAATTTTCCAAGGGATAGAAGATTTTTCATGAAGATTTTAAACGTATGGGGCATAAAGCGTTTTAAACACTTGGAATATAACCATCCTCATTAAATTTCCCCTATATTCTACAGACAACTTGATATTTCTCACTTTGCTTAGCAACTTGAATTTTTCTATTGGCCTTAGATTTTATATATGCCCAGCAAAAGAAGCAGTAGATTGGGAAAATAATACGTGGGAGTATATGCTTTCTAGAATGCATAGCATAAAAAACTTCAAAACAAGATTTTTATATTAAGACAATTCACAGAATGAGTGTAATCAAACTTTGCAGATTTTTTTAAAGAAAATTTATAGCATGATCGACATGTAACTTCAAGAGTTAAACAATCATTTCTCTGAAACAAGTACTGAGCTACTTCTTTGTGTGGCATGTTTAAGTCCAAGCAATTCATTCTCTGGTTTTGTTAAGGTGAAATTGATTGATCTTGCAGAACTATAACCATGAATCTATCACATGTTGACTATCCAGTTGAAGAAGCAACTCAGCATACAATTCATTTGTTGTAATTTGAGAAAACTCGTTTAGCAAATACAATACAACAAATGAAATACTGGTAGGGGTAAGCTAAAGCTCTCGAAAAAAGCAGAACAATAAGGTCAACCTAATTGCCAATTGCGACAAATTCTCAAGGTGATAATGATTATAACAACAATTTAGTTGGCTTTTGATTTTCAATTTTGCTATATTAGAATAACTAACTCAATAAATCAATATAAAAACAACTTGCAATTACAAAGCAGAAAGGACTTATTAACCCATGTAACATTTAAAACTGCAGGTGGGCCATCCTTTAAATTGCACTAGCCAATATGATTTAGATACTATGTATAAAGTACTTTCACCATTTACGACAAACTTTATCTCATGAAAAGTATAGGAGATGTGAGTTCTCATTCAATCCTCACCATCGTGAAAGTTGAAAATCATGCATTTTAGAATATGATTAAATGATCCTAATATTTTTCATAGTCTAACTGCTACTCTCCAAAATAGGAATTATTATCATTGACATCCTCAAATAAGCCTCACTCATATTATCTACATGCCTGATAGGCTCAAAGAACAATGGCGTCATATATAGTTCAAGTATGATTCGTTTAAAGATATTTTAACTATTTTAGTCCATTAGAATTTCTAGCATATGATATGTCATTAGGAAACGTATTGACAATTTTAGAGAAAGGTTGTGGTTTTTTTAACATGCTACCAAGATTGTGCCAGCATAGCTATGCTAGATCTAAAAAGAGATCCTTGATTAGATATAAAAAAACTTTTACTTTTTAAGAGAATAACTTTCAACTTTGAGCACTTTATGAAAGTCCTTGTCTAACATACCAACAATACTTAAATTAGAATCAAAATTTAATACAGTTATAGTTTTAAATTTCATCTCCTGATCATTTTTCTTGATTTTAAATATTAAGGTTCCTTAAATTTTTCTAAGTATTCTTTAACACAAAGGAAACCTCATGGTAAGCACTTATTCACTATGATGTGATGGAAAATATTTTTGTTTCACCCTACACTTCATTTCATCTCAATTATCAATGGTTGTCTGTCTTCAAGTTAATACTTAATTTTCAACTTGTCTACAAAATATTCAGTATATTTCTAGTTAATTTAACATTATGGGAAAAAAATATCTCATGCCAAAGGAAATTCATCATATCATCTAATAATTAAAAATCAAAATCATTCAAAGGATAATATCTAACTAATATAAGTAAAAAAAATAACTAAGAAAATAAATAGAATTAAAGCTCGTGGACTAGTACAATTCAACCAAGATTTGTGTTTAGTCGTGATTATTGATTTGGGTCCATATGTACTTTAAACAATCAAAAAACAATTACGCAACGCCCATGCTCGTATTTTAGAGTTGGTAAGAAGAGGATAACAGATACCTCTTTTAATACTAAATCCACCAATTGGAAGCGGAAAGTAGACCGCAATTTCAATTCATTACCTAGCCGCTATTTTTTAAGTGCCAATCAACTCTCAAGCAATCTTTACAACAGTCACTATCAGGCTATCAAATTTGGCAATTTAATATCAAATGCAAAACATCAGGAGCCAATTTAGCAAGAAAGCCATTATAAAAGTTGTTAAACCATATAAATCAGTCACCTTGCATTGCTCACTTGTGAAAACTCTATCCAGTAAACATCAGTGAAAGGCTCACAGTCTTCTGCATCCATAGGTTTGCAGCTATTAAATGAACAAACAAAACACGTACACACAAATTATATAAATAATTTCCCAACATTCAATTAATATTTCACTAAAAAACTCCCATAAAAATGCTGGTAAGAAAAGGAAAATGGGAATATCCTTCTCTGAATAACCCTTGAAAAACTCATGTTACAATAAACATTAAGCATTTTACTACCTAATTAACATACGATATATATGGGCGAAATCCACATTTTTTTCAAGGTGGACAAATCTTATATAAAAATAAAATAATATACAAAATAAAATGAATAATATATTATTTAACATAAAGCATTTCATATCATTGTGAGTGAGCATTTCATATCATTGTGAGTGGTGAGTGATATATATATATATACATACATACATACATATACATATTAAATTGAAAGGTCAAAAAAAATTTAGTTGGGCAAATACTTTTAATTATGGTGAACAATTTTACTGAAACGAATACTATATAAATGGGGAAAAAACTATGAATATATAATTTCATTAATGTTTATTATATGCCTGCAACAAATGACTCTTTTTGTGCTTGCCAAGAATCTGCTTTGCGGTTGAAACTAAAATAGATTGCTTGGCAAAGCCACAGGCACCATAGATGCTAGAAAATAAAACCTGAAAACTACACTGTGCTACAAACTACACTAATCTTACAGCACAGAACAAACACAGAAGGAAATGAGTAAGAATATGATGCATGTGCAGCAATAAATCTTACAAATTAGAATTCAGATGGGTGAAAAATGCATAGATATGACAGCATTGGAAGAAAGATGAGAGACCGTATCGAGGAAAAGGGAATGCTAGAAGTAAATGTTGAAATACAAAGAAATAAATAAGTTAAAATAAATCGCAGAAAGATGGTATAGAGAATGCCAACATCAGAAATTATGGCAAGGAAGAGGCCAAGCCTATGCACTAAAGATTCAAAACCTTGGTCCTATATATAATTTTAGATAATAACATGCTTCTAAGACAGATGATCAACCAATTGTATTGGACATTCTGAATCAATGTGGTCTAAAAATTAGAAGGAAAAAAGTACCATATTTGTTCTTCTCTCAGAAGTTACACACCAAATGAAATGGTAAGACAAAATGCTACAGTGAAAAAGCAACAAAGAAAAACTAATGAAACAATTTAAATATATTTTTGTTAAATTTTTTGAAAAAATTGTTATGCAAACACCTATTTTCTTCTTCAATTGGTGATCGTTCAATTTATATCAGGCTATCAAGGCCAATACTTAAATCTTATTTTAAAGTATGATGTTTCACAAATAATTTAAAACACTTGGCTTTATATAAGTTTGGGTGACCCTTGAGGTTGATTTAACAGCATAATAGCTTTATAGCATAAATTGCAATGGATTGATATCTGAAACACAACAGATAAAACACAAAAATATACATGAGTAAGCATTGTAAGTTAACAAATGCACTTTTAAAGTAACTCAATCTTGGCTTGATTAATGCTGTTCCAAGTTCGTTCAAATTAGTAATTCAACAAGCTTATTATTATTTTTTAAAGCTCAGAGATTAAATAAACAAAGCTTGAACAAAGTTTAACTTTTTTATTTGTATTCACGAAGAAATTTATTATTTGTTCAGTAACTTGTTAATGGCTTGATATTATGATCAATGTATATTACTTAATTAATATTTTAGTTAAATGAAACTTGTTTGATTAACTTGTTTAGTAGTAATATATTGTAATTTAATGTCAACAATATTTAGAACTAATTATCAATCCCAAATTTATTTTATTTACATGCATATTTTTTATATCTTAATTATATAAATGCCATTATATACATATATATATATATATATGTATGTATATTTTTGAAGTATAAATTTAATATAAATAAGATTAAATTTCATATCATTACTAATAATTAAGATTAAACTGGTAAGTAAAACTAATTATAATTTAAAAGGTAGAAAATTATTAAAAAATAATAAAATTTAATTATAAACCTATTCTAGTTTATAACATAACATTCCACTTTCTTCACTTTCGTAATTTCCCACCCTTTTGTTCCGTAATTCCTAACAAACGGTATTATAGTTAATGTTGCATTAGGCTTCACTAATCCATGCCTGTGGCTATGGTTCTAACCCTATGATTGAGCAATTCAGAAGTTTATACATAATTCATATTGGAAGGCATAGTGAAATGAATTCTTTAACATCTCTAAAGTTTGGCACTCTACTTGTGATGTGAAACCCAAAGTCTATAATTGGCAGATACAAAAAAAAACTTTTACGACCTCAATAATGTTTTTTTTTTTAAATTATAATCAATTAATTGATTCAATTAAAATTTACATGTTTCAAGTTTATCTTTGACATTAATTTGTTGAGGTATTTAGAGTTTATATTTATATACCTAAGATGAACATATCTTTCTACTGTGTAGTGCCTAATTCAATATTCCAATTTTGCGATCATTTTTTCAGCCGTTATTATTTCTATAGGCTGATTAGAGATGTGCATTATTTGATTACAATTTTTAAAAAAATCAAATTGAAAAAATTTTTTAAGTGATTTGAATCAATTTTCAATTTAGAAGTTCAAATCCAAGTTCCTTAAAGCTTTTCCACCCTCTCTCTAGCGTAACCGGCTGCATAAGCGCTGTTTTTGGTTTGTCTGCTGCTTGAAATCGAAGAAGTGGTGTGGCTTGTGAGGAATTGTTGAAGACCAAAGTTTGGACAAGGTGACTGTGAAGCATTTTTCTTCCCAAATACTACTACTCCTTTTTGCTTGCCTACAATGTATTGATACATAATTTATATCTGCTTAGAAAGATTTCTTTCCCATACATGCTTATCAGTGCTAATCTTATTTGTCCTCCATGTTGATTTTATTCATGTGGAGAATAAGGGACTTCCAATATTTCCAAACTTCAGAATAAAAAGATTTAATTCCAATTACACTTGTACATGTTTTAAGAGAATAAAGCATATTTTTTATTTTATTTTTTTATATGTATTTTAAAGTTTATTCAGATGGGCATCAAGCTTTTCTTCCCATTTTTGACATTTACTTTAGTAAGTTCAGGAAGCCAATTTTTTTATCTTCCTTAGCCCTATTTGAGGATGGTTTGATCCATTGGAAATTGATAGGTCTTCAGGACTACGTCAATTTATCCCAAATCAAACTGAAACAATCAAACAAATTATATTTTTGATAAGTTTGATTGTGGGATATATTTGGTCAGTTAAGTTCATTTACTGGGCATCCAAGACCGATCAGTTTAGCTAATTCATCAACAAAACTGTCCAAAGCAATTGAATACACACCCTTAAGGCTAATTTATTCCATGAGGCTTATAAGTATATAGTTTATAAGGAATGTGAATCAATATATTTCATGGAACTTTCAACTGCGTAAACCCTTCAACAACTTTAACACTGATCATTGATTAAGTGTGTGACTTAAATTTTTTTTTAAGAAATGTGGTCTCCTTATTATTTAACAATGAGGCTCGTTTAAAGGTTAAATACTTCCCTTTCCTTCGTCTTGCTTCTCTTTCTCCCACTTCTTTTATTTTATTGATTGAGAGTGTGAATAGTTTCTTTTAGATCCTTTATCATGTGCACAAAATCTTAATCAATTCCTTGGCATTCATAGTCTCTGTTTTAGATGCTAGTTTGTATTTAGTACTTACAAGTAAAATCTTATCATTGGAGTGTAGTTAGTGAGCATCCTACATCAACTAGGTAAAGTTGAAAGTTTTTGAAAGTTTTCGAGTTGACAAGGAAAAATATGCAATGTGGAGAGCTCTCCCTGAAATGAAGATATAAGAGATAATTGGGTAGTACCACATTAGGTGATTGTAAAATATGTTGGCATAAAAATACTGCTAGTTGATTCCCACTAAGGGGCTGTTCGGTTCCCTAAATTTGTAGTATAAAGCAAATCAAATGCAAGAATATTTAAAATTTGTGCATTTGGTATATGAAAACATAATGGAATGTAAAATTTTGATGAATTTGGAATTCACCCTACAATTCAAGATTAGTGTATTCTGAATTCATTAAATTTGAGCAACTTCCAAATACACCGTAAATTATAGCTTGTCGTCGTTGTTGTTACCACCACTACCACCGTTGATCCCAGGCTGCCTTCAACGCACATCTAGTTGTTGCCAACAACGACTGCCGGTTGTCCGCCGCAAGCATTGCCGCCGCCACCATCGTTAAAGCATATTTTATATTCATTTTATTTTTCTTCGAGCCAAAAACAAAAAATGTAAACCCTTGCATTTAGTGTACATCAAACCAACTTTAAGTTTTTCAAACACATTACATTTAAATTACACTAAATTCCCTTTGCATTGCAATTCCTTGTTTAACAAGCCAAATATCCTTTACAATAAAATCTTATTGACTGAAGATAATTTTTGCAAGTAGCATGTCGGGAACAAATTGCCCCCAACAATGTACCAACTACTTAAGAAAAAAATACACATATTGCATAATTCACTCGATTTCATATTTAAAATTTGACATCAAGAAACTATCTAAGCAAAAGCACTCATACAGTATTCAAATATCTGCACAAATGTCCAACTTTCAACTATATCAATATATCTCCGTCAGCAAATGAATTTCTCTCACATCTTTCCCATTTTCCACTAAAATCATTTAGTTTCATTAATGGTTCCAAACTTCAACCTTCCAGCACAAGTAATCTTTACAACATCAATGGACAAATTAAAGCGGTAGCAGATAAATGAGATCATAAATGCTATTTGTAACTATCATGGACATGCTTCAAACAATAATCTTTTAGAAGATTCCAGAGAGCAGAATTTTGATTTTGATCACAATGAGATATCTAAATAACGATAAAAACCTAAGGCCTTGCTTATTGCGTCTAATATTCTCAAAATGATATTTTGTAAAACCTCTCAACAGACAAACATGATGCGGCAACCGCACATGTCAAACAAATCGACTAACCCATCAACTAATTTTAAAACTTTACAGAACACAAAAGATCTACTAGCTGATCAATTTAATGATAAAAACTTCTAAATCTGCGGATAAAATTATAAAATGTCACATAATATTGTGTGCAAATAAAAAACTAAAGAATTTGACTCTTTTTCTTTGACGGATCATCGTTTTTTTTTATTCATTGAAGTAACTTGTACATAATAATATCTGAAAATCTAATTTTGTTACAATTATTTCAAAAAAGTTTCAGCTATCGCAAACAGTGATAGGAGCTTACTCTACAATTTCTCCATACGACCCGAAGAGCTTGGATAACTCCTCCCCGCAACCAAGCGCGGGCACATTCCTCACTATCAGGTACCTGGAAACGGCAGAAAATTGATAAGAAGACTGAACATTAAAATAGTAAGAAGTCGATATTGATGGCCAAGGTGAAGAGCAGAAAGTAAAGACAAGATGGCAGGCTTTTAATGAACCATGATTAGGGCTCTCTGTTATCTTACTTAGATTCATCGCAGATGGTGTACACGCGAATGGCCGGTGGATCGTCTCGATTACGCGGCATCTCCTAAACCTGCGAGCAGTGAGTGGGAATCGGTCTCCGACTGAGATGTACAGCCACCCAAATACTAGTAATCCAAGATAACACCGAACAGAAAAAAATAAAATGCTCGACAGATTTGGAAGAATTGCTCGCGAAATAATGATGGTAGAACCGAGACGACAAGGCCTCAAAGCTTCCTTGGATGAGGCAAGCAACTCACCCTGCGGAGTCCTGAGGCAATAAAAAGCCGGTCGGGGTGTTTTAGGTGAGAGCGGGCTCGGCAGAGCGATCTAAATTTTATTTAATTTTTTGAAGGATTGGTATTTCGCAGAGCCCCAACATCGATTCACTTGATAAACGAACCCGCGCCATATGCTCATACGAGTCTCTCAACCGCCCTCACTACCAACAGAATGGCCAGAGAGGGGTTCGAACCCGTGACCTGAGGTGACTTACAACCTTCAAAGAGATTGCTCTATCAGCAAACCACGACTGACAGCATATACATACATACATACATATATATATATATAT